GGCGCCCTCCTCCTTGATCCCTCCTCCCTTCTTTCTCCTCTCCACCCTCCTCGCTGCTCCCACCTCCCTTCTCTCTCTCTTTCGTCCTCCCCGCGGCTCCCTCCTCTCCGATCCCCCGCCTCGGGCTGCCACGCCTGCACGCGCACGCGCACACTTAGGCTGCCGCGCCCCTCTGCGAGCCTAACCCCCGCGAGTCGGTCCCACACGCCTCTCGAAGCGGAGGGAGGGCCGCGAGGACAGTCAGCTGGGTCCCTACACGCACACGTCCCGCACGCATCCGCCCTCTCCTTTCGAGGGCGGGGGAGGAGGGTGGCTCTGGTTACAGCTGCCTTCTCCCGCAGCCTTTAGGCACCCGGTCCAGCCTGGTCCTGGCACTCCTTCCCCGGCGTGCCACGGAGTCCTGCGGGGCTCTCACTCGTCCCCTTGGCGGTCCGGGAGTGGCCGCTGGCGGTGAACCCGGACCAGAGACCTAGAGGGTTCTTCCCAGCGCCAGCAGCCCGGAACTAGTGCTGGGCGTCGGGCAGCTAGGGCGGGAGGATGTATTAGGTTTGTGTCCTGATATGTGGGGCTGGGGAGGATGGTGGTGGTGTGTGTGTGATATTCACTGAGTGGCATGTAATGCCTATGTGTTGCCTGTGTGTAGAGTCGAATAGTCGAGGGAGGGGAGGGGAGTGAAGCGCGTGGGGGATGCGGACGCCACTGTGCGAGCATGATTAACTGTATAGGCTGAACATGGGTGTGTGTGGCGGTGTGGTGGGCTGGAATAGAGTAAAAGCTTATGCATGGAGAGTATTGTGGAGTTGACACGGATATGGGCACACAGATGGGACTGCCATGGGGTCCAGCCTGTCCAATAGGTGTGGCTGCCCAGGCTGCAGCTCCCCCTCCTACCTCCTCAAGTCCAGTCCGCTTGTTTACCTTCCCTGCTGACCACAACTAGTATCAAAAGGGTTTCCCATCCCAGGCTGAACCAGAAAAGAGAAAAGGAATCATTACTTCCCAGGGAGCATCCATGGAAACTGGCGCTCCCTGCAAGGGAGCCAGGACCCAGCCAGAAACACGCAAAGGAGGGAACGCCCTCCTTGGGCTTCCTTGCCAACTGCTTCTCGAGGCCCAGGAAAATGCCTATAATTACCGAGGGTCGGAAACAGAACCTCTCAGCACAAATGCTGGACTGGCACGTGCTTATGCCTGGATTTCCTTTCCCCTTTCTGCCTAGCAATGAGAACCAGCCTGGCTTTAAAGGAGATTCATCCTCAAGCTCTCAAAAATCTTTGCTGCCATAAGCAACCTTTCATAATTTTCCCTTTTATTTAACCTTGGCTTAGGAAGGGAAATCTAATTTGCATATGCCCGACTCTAGTGAAGTCTTCATATGTCAGGTATTGAGGGAAATCAAGACGGCAAAGGTTGTCAGTTCTAAGTTGCAAACTCTGGCTTCCCAGTGATCTAACACTGATCAAACATAAGGTGGCATTGCTTCACCTACTTCCCAGGTGTCCACCCCCTTAAGTCCCAAAGCAGCTCACTGCTGACTCATAGATTCCATGCATCCCCGCTGTTAACATAGCCATCTCAAAATAACTTCAGCAAGTGGAGAGAGAGAGAAAAAAAAAAAAAACCAAAGGATTCCACACCACATTATTGCTATAGTCTGAAACCAATTTTTTCTAAGTTTTATTTTATTATTTTGTGTGTATGGCCGTTTTGCCCACATGTATTGTTTGTGCACTGCCTGCACACTCAGAGGATAGAAGGGTACATCAGATTCCTTGGGACTGGAGTTACAGGAGTTTGTTAGCTGCTGCTGCTGGGGATCGAACCCAGGTCCTTGGGAAGCTCAGCCAGTGCCTTTGACCTCTGAGCCTTGCTCTAAGCCCATCAACCAATTTTTAAACAATAGGTATATTCATCTGTTTTAATTTATTTTTCTCCTCCAATGTATTAACTCCCTCTAATACCAGGCATATCATATAAGGCCAAAAAACAGGACATCTCCAGGAGGGCTTACACAGCTAATCCCACTTTGCTTTTATTACAGACTGGACCACAAGACTCCACTAATTAGGAAACACAATTTTTTAGTTCAATAAGACTATTCATAGCCAAGCTGTGCATGACCCAAAGACCTACGATGCCAGACACTCATAGTCATCAAAGATCAGTCTTGACAAGGGCTATAACTTGTCTACTTGGCTCTAACACTATAGTTAGAATCCTCAGGTTCAAATTCGAAGAGCTGGATAATTTGTTCCTGTCACAGTGTACCTCTTTGTCTATTGTTAATGTAAATTGTATTTGCACACCAACCCTTTGAACACTTACAAACTGAGTCTTAACGGAACAGGTTTTGGTTACCTAACCAAGCAACCAAGCATCATGGTTATAAATAAGCTACCAGCAATCTGCTAGTCGTATTAAACCAATCACAGGGCTGACAGGGGCAACAGCTTCCAAATGCAGTGCAGCTAAACTGGGAGCTGCCTGTGAGGAAGGAAGAAGTCTGTTCGGCAAGGCCATTAGCACAACTTGGACTCAGCATTTGCTCCAGTATTGAGGTAAGACCAGCATTTTTAGACTCAGAAGCAGTCACGCTTTCCTGTACTACACCTTGGCCCTGTACCTGACCCACTGCAGATGCTCCATATTAGTGCCTGTATTGGTTTGTTTTCTATCTCTGTAATAAAACACTGACCAGAAGCAACTTGGGGTAGAAAGGGCGTGTTACAGACCATCATTGAAGGAAGTTGTGACAGGAACTGAAACAAAACCATGGAGGAACAAACAGTGCTTACTGGCTTGTTTCTCCATGGCTTGCCCAGCCTGCTTTCTTATACACAGCCCAGAACCACCTGCCCAGAACAGAACTGGCCACATTACTCATTAATCAAAAAAAAAAAAAAAATGCTTCCACAGACTTGCCTACAAACCAGTCTGATGGAGGTGTTTTCTCAGTTGAGGATCCATCTTCCTAGATGACCTGAGCTTGTGTGAAATTGACAAAACTAACCAACACAGTTCCTTCTTTTATATAGCATCTTGAACATTCACAACCAGAGACTTAATATTCTTCCCAACCCTCCCTCTAGGGTGCAGTGGAGAGACTGCCCTGTGACAACTGTCTTAATCAGGGTTTCTATTGCTGTGAAGAGACACCATGACCCAGACAACTCTTATAAAGGAAAACATTTAATTGGGGTGGCTTACAGTTCAGAGGTTCAGTCCATTATCATCCTGATGGGACATGGCAGCGGGTAGGCAGACATGGTACTAGAGAGGTAACTGAGGAAGTGGTCTGAGACACTGGGCATGGCTTGAGCATATGAGACCTCAAAGCCCACTTCCACAGTGACACACTTCCTCCCATAAGGCCATACCTACTCCAACAAAGCCACACCTCCTAATAGTGCCACTCCCTTTGGGGGCCATTTTCTTTCAAATCACTACAACAGTTGTTCAAAATGAACCTCTTCTGTAGGCTCCAAAGCCCAACCACCTGTTTTCTTTATTGTTGTGTTTCTGGAAGTGTGCCATTTTCTTCTGCCTGAGTTCATGCCTCCCACTTCTGTCCCTTTGCCTTGATTTCTTGACTCTGGATGTCATTTGAGCTCAGTTGCTGTTGAAGTGTTTAATTCGCTCTGGGTTGTTTCATCGTCGACATCATTATTAATTATTAATAATGAAGCCTGAATTTAAGGCCTCAGGTGCTCAAACATATAGTTATACCCCAAGCCCTGTTTGTACTTTGTACTTGGAGACAGGTTATCACTAAGAAGTAGAGGCAACCCTCAAGCTTACGGAACCTCCTGCTTCAACATCCTAAGTAGCTGGGAGTATAGGCCTGTGCCATCATGCCCAGCTTCCTCTGCAGTCTTAAGAACTTGTTGTCCCTATATGTGCCACCTCGGTCTAGCAGGTACTGTTTATTCCCAGCGCTTGGCATTGTTTTGGATGCATCAGATGCATATGACAAATTGTGTTAAATGGACACATCAAATGTTCACAACTATGCTGGAGATGTAGCTCAGTGGTAGATTTGAAGGGATTGAATTGGATCCCCAACACCACACACACTCACACACACACACACTCACACACACACACAC